TAGTGCATGTGTCGAGCGTATTAGTACGTGTGTACTTGTTACACGTTTGCTCCCTCGTGGTCTCCCCCCCCCCCTCTCTCTCTCCGCTTTTTGTTTCTCTTTCTCCAGCCCCGTCCTCACACCCTCTCTGTGTCCCTGGACACCACATCAGCCTCTGGGGAAATACGCGCAAGTGGCTCAGCCCAGGGAGGCCTCTGTGTGTGTTTGTGTGTCTGTGTGTGAGAGAGAGAGAGAGAGTGCGAGAGAGCGAGATAGCGGGAGAGAGACAGTTCAAGCGTGAGCGTGCATTAGCTCGTGCTTGAGGCTGGCCTACTGATCGCCCGCGGTGTCACTAAGCGACCGCTCTCCCCTATACCCGGCCAGCGACACTTTGTTCAAGCGCCAAAGGTTGAAACAAACGTGCGGCGTGATATTTCAGCAATCTCTCTCTCTCTCCCTCCCTTCCTCCTTCTTTCCCTATCTCCCTCTCTATATTGATGCTTTTTGTGAAATGTGCTCGCCGGCTCCAGGGTGCTGCCGCAGCGCGGCGCGCCGTACTGGCCGGGCTCCCTGGCCAAATTAATATCAATTTCCAGACCGCACATTCTTGCTTGGCACCAGGTTCCCTGTTCTCCGCCGCACCTCGCTCCACCCCATCCCGCCCGCCCCACCCCACCCCACCTCGCGCGCCTATTACGTCTCTCTCACTTTCATTAATTTAACTCGCTCACATCGCCCACCTTTCGTTAAGGTAAGTTTTGAGATTTCTCTGTTAAAGGGTAAACGGTGGAACGCTTTTACTTATATTTTCGCCTGCAAAGTAAAGCTTAGTTTTATTTATCGCTTTCTTTCCCTTTCTCACTCAAACACGAACGTAATTAACGAAATGGATTCAAGTGCATGTTCCCGACAAAAAAACCTAATGTGTTCTTGTTGTCGTTTTATCGTGGGCCGCAGGTTATTAATTATTTCTTGCGGCTTTTTAGCCTACTTCAGATGTATAAGTCGAGAAATGTAAAGAAACAAGGAAATGAGAGAGAGAGAGAGAGAGAGAGAGAGAGAGAGAGAGAGAGAGAGAAATTATATATAATTTCTCTCTCTCTCGAGAGAGAGATAGAGTGATGACGTGCGATAGCACCTCTGCGCTTCTGTGTTTCATGTTTCATTGGTTTCATTCTGTGTAAGGCCCGCACGGAAGTTGTGGGCTGAAATTGGCGTAGAAATAAATTGTTCTGTCGGTCCGAAGCTCAGGCCGATCCAGCGATCAAATTACAAGCTGAGCCCCGTCTGCGGCACTTAGCGCTGCTGTTGCAACCGTGCCCCCTCCCCTATCTTTCTCCAGCGTGCCTCCTCGAGGAACTTTTTTCTCCTCTCTGCACACTGGAGAAAACAAAGGTAGGACTTCCTGCCGTTTATATGTGATAAATTTTAGGCCCGAAGTCGAAAACATGTTCTTAGTTCTTTTTAATCAGCAGTGTTCTCATTACGTAGAATTCAGACATAGAAAGTATCCCGAGCAGCCAAGTGACAACGACTTTACTTCATATTCTTGCGAACAGCTCTGCGAAAAACAAAGAGCCCTGCTTTGTATCATCTGAATCACCCCGGTACGCCACGAAAAGCAGTTCGGAAGAAACTGAAGGCACTAAAATATATCACCTTTGGGACATTTAAGTAGCTCTGGCTTTCATTTGCAACCCCAACCGGAAAATGACGCACGACGAGTTCACAAAGAAAATTGTCATTTTGCAAGAGCTCTTCTGGCTGGCGCTCTGTATAGAGGTGTGTGTGTTGCCTAACGCCTGGTGGTTAGGCAGCTCGTACGCCGGTGCTCACTGCTGTTCACCGGGTGGCCTACCCCTGACTGCGCAGGCGCTCGTGAGGGCTCTGCGGCCAGCGGGCTACGCTACACTGTAAAAAATAGCTTATTTAATTTACAAGGTATTTTGTATTTTTGATTTACGACATATGTTTTAAATCAACGACAGCCCATTCTTGGTCGTCATTGTATTACAAGTCGATACAGAGTTCTTGTAGTTTTACAATTTCAAGTTGTATGTTTACAACACACATTAGGGAAAACTTTTCCGTAACCATTCCAATTTTTCCCACAGTTTGGTTTGTACCTCCCCACCCCTTCCCCTTTTTATGTGTTTATCTTCCGATAATAGGCCATGCTCTGAAAACTCAACAGTGTACATTGTATGCTGAAAAATCAGCGATCATTGGTGATTGCTGATATATCAGTGTACATGGAATGATTGCTGATATATCAGCAATCATCAATGATCACGTTTAGGTTTTTGGCTAATATTTCCTTTCAGACGGATATCCTTGAAAAGTGGATAGCATTTCTAGATTCCTCGTGAAATGCTTTCTAACGAGCTACTATGTGATAGGGTTTACTTCCGAAATGGTCCGCCTTTTGAAAATGTCGGTAATGTCAGCCGAGTTATGGTAGCGGTCAATTTGAACCCCATCACATAGTAGCTCGTTTGAAAGCATTTTTCACGAGGAATCTGGTAATGCTATCCACTTTCCGATGATATTCGTCTGAAAGGAAATATTAGCCAAAAACCTAAACGTGATCATTGACGATTGCTGATATATCAGCAATCATTCCATGTACACTGATATATCAGCAATCATTCCATGTACACTGATATATCAGCAATCATCAATGATCGCTGATTTTTCAGCATACAATGTACACTGTTGAGTTTTCAGAGTGGAAATGCATTGTATTGGTGGCCAATGCAAATTAGTCGCACTTTCTGTTGAAAAAGTGTTTTGTCGGCTTATCACACCTCTGTCGGACGACTGCACACCTCCGCCGCATGTTGCGTGCAAAACACACGACTGTCCAGTCCATTGAGAAACTCATTAAGCATCATTATACGATACGGAGCATCGGCACTGTAACGTGAATCTGAACCTTAAACAATTGAGGGAAGGGTATCGATTTCACGCTGATCACTACCTTTCGTCCGCGATTTTCACCGTCCATCTCTTCTTGGTAGGCTCTCCCCGCGCGGGCGATAGCCGAACTCTGACGCAGGACCGCATTTTCGTGGCTGGCCGCGGACTTTGCGACTGCGTATAAGAGGGCTCTGTCACACCGCTTTAAGCCCCGGCCGGCACCGCGCCCGGCACCCCTACCCCGCGCCTCCCTCTCTCTCTCTCCAAGTTTTAAGTCAAGATCCCTCCCCCGTCAAAAGTGATACACTTCCAGGAAAATTGTTCCCGGCAGACGGTTAATTATCAAAGGCTTAGAAGGCGGAGCGCGCTGAGAGAAGGGCGGCCCTAATAACTGGCGCCCCCGGCCGGGCCCACCCTGCCACTCGCCACCGCGGAAACATTTGCGACTTTTTTTTCAAAAAAGTTTTTGCCTTAGCGTTTGTGGTTTTTGAAGCGCAGCGTCAGGCCGTAGCCCACCGTAGCTCCACCGTGCCGTAGCCACCATGCTGTGCGCTTCGATGCCGGCGCCCCGATTGCGCCGCGAGCCCCTTGACTTGACTTGATTCGCTGCCCTCTACTCCGCTCTACTCCAGTCTAAGGAAAATTGCCGAAAACAAAGTGCCTTTTTAACCGACGTACGAAGACATGTCTGAAAATGTTTTTGGAAACAATTGTTTGTTTTTTAAATTTACCATTTACCCCCTCCCCCCACTCGCATCTCTCCCTCTCTGATATGTCTGTTCTCCGGGCTCAAATTGCTATAAACGCGCTTCCACCCCTGCGTGTGCTTGTTTGTTAGTTAGAGCGAAATAAAAAGGAATCTGCCTGTCGCATTAAGGTAAAAATAGAAGAGAGGCGTACCGCGATTGGGTGCTCAGCGGTGCGCAAGTGCAGGGGAGGCATAAAAAATACTGATGCAGAAAAGAACATATACGCACTGAGCCAATTCAACCGAATGCAATGTACTCTACTTTCGGGTTGTTTTTATACAGTATTTCTGACAAAGACGCGCTCTTTAAACTAATTTCACCCATAGAGGCCCTCGCTAGGCAGAAAAGATCGAGTCCGTGTTTAAGTTTTAATCGAGGAATGGCGCTATCAATGTGGTCGGCGTTAAATTTTTACAGCCGGGAACCTACAGGCCTTTATTGCCTCCCGACGGGGGATTCCACTCTGCCCTTCTCTATACCTCCCCCTCCCCCCTTACCCCCATCGCACTCCCTCCTCCCTTGGGTACGACATACACGCTCCCACCCCTCCCCTCTCCCTTAAACACACACACACACACACACACACACACACACACTAATTGCCACACTGCCTCTTTTATTTTGTTGTAACTAACACCACGCAAGCTGGCCTGTGGCCTAGGCGGTGGCCTGGCCAGCCCATTCCCCATCACTGTACTACCGGCGCGTGCGCCCAGCCCCACACCGAGCAGCAGTGCATCGCTCTGATCCCCGCGTCCTGCTGTCCCTGGAGGTGAGAAACTTTAGTCCGAGCAGGACCGAGCCCGGCCGTACCCCTGCCCGAGCCATCCAAGGGCCGATGACTCTAGGGAGGCCATCGCTGTGACCCCTTGCAGTCTGCAAACTGCCTCCTCGACGAAGTGAGCAGTGACATTCCAACACAATACTGTGTCCTGCACAAAAGGAGTCGGTGACGGTACTGACTTGATCGTTTAAGTAACAAAAATATTTGTCACCGTCGATAGTGACTCCAAAACTGTACGTGTTTTTCGCCTTTACCATAGAATAATACTTATTTTCTCGAAAATGAGCACGTTGTCTCTTATGTTCTAGGTGCTGTGCCCGCTCGTGGCTTCCTGGTGGCCGCCTCCACCTCGTTACAGGCGGGGCCGGCTGGTGCCAGCGGGGCGCGCGCGGTGCAATCCGAAGGCGTTTGCGACGCACTATCTATCCTCCCGCTCCACGTGGGAGTTGCAGCCCACCCCACCTGAGCGTGGGCCGGCGCCCTCCCCCACCTCCCCCCCGGTGCGGTGGTTGGTGGGGGCGCGCGGGCGGGGCGGGGCGCGGTGGGCGCGCGCGGGGCCCCACAGTCTCTGCCTCGCGGGCCACCAGAGCGGACGGGTCGGGTCTGCGCTGCGCGGAGCGTTCCCCCCGCGCTGTCCCGCTGCGAGCGTCCCGCGCTGTCCTCCCGCTCGCGTGCGCTCGGCTGTCCGTGTGATGCTCTGTGTTGTGGTGTTGGTTGGATACACGCTCCGATGAGCCGCGGGGCCGCATCTACCAGGTAAGGAAAAATTAACGGATGCTTGAAAAATATGGGTAAAAAATAGTAAAAAAAGAGGTAAAATAAAAATAAAATTGTAAGTTCTCAAATGGGTATGATAGGAAGTCGGCGAGCGGTACCGATTCCCGCACGTCGGCCGTCGGCTTACAACAGTGTTCCATTAAAGCGGACACCGATAGGAAAGACCGTGGAGGGGTTTCCCCGGGTTTCCCCCGCACGCCAGCAATGTCGGCGTCGGAGGAAGCGGCGGTAAGGTGGAGGCGGGGGTGGGTGCGCGGAGCTGGGGAGAGTGGTAGGGGAACCCGCAGGGAAGGTGCGGAAATTGTTTCGTTGGTGTCGTGATGAGTTAAAACTGTTCGCCGTGAGGCGGGGGAGACAATGTGGCCGGGGCGGGCCGCCGCGCTCTGCCGCGCTCCGCCACACCGCGCCCCGCCACCGCCACCGCCCC